ACTTACAACCACATTTATAATGTGCTTAATAATTGTACTTTCATACTTTGTTAAGGATTATTTTTTATTACTAAATTAATTTTGGGGAGAGAAGCACAATGTATATGATAAGTGGGGGCTGAGCAGGCCAGAATTACAGTGGCAGGCCAGATGATCGTCGGGCCAAAGGGAAATGTCCTTATATCTCCCTATGGCCAGTCCGCCCTTGAGTTTTACTGTTTTCTATTGTTTATTATTCCTGGTCATTTCTTCAATAATTGTAAGTTCTAAAACAATAGCATATGACATCAGGTCACTGCTATGATATGATTGACAATTTATGTATATCACTGTTTGTCATTGTGCTCTGTTTATTCTGAGAGCTGATGCTGAGTATTCTTAGAGCTTTTGACTCTTGAAATTATTAACCCAGGGTCTTTCTAACACTGGATAAACAGAATCCTGTATTATCTGTAATCTCGTTCCACACTGCTCATGCTATACCTGGTGTTCATTAACAGACGTTTCACATTCGCAAACCCCGGGTTAACATTGTTATTTGTATATTTATGTTTGTCAATGTCCCTGACTGGACAAACAGCAGGTCATCTTTTTAGATGGCATTTCTTGTCGGGTTAACAATATCTGCAAATCAGGAGAAATACCAGCCTTTTAGAAAGTAGCTATTATTATACCAATACCAAAACCAGAAAAAGATCATTTAAATAATTATCGTCCAACAGCACTTACCAGTTGCCTTTGCAAAACAAGGGAACGAATGATTAATGATCAATGGTGTGGATTTTAGAAAAACAACAGAAGATTAATAAATATCAGTGTGAGTTTAGAAGAGGGAAAAGTACTTCTTATACGATTAGAATCTTTTGTACGAGATGGTTTAATTAAAAAAAGAACACATGGTAGCAGTTTTTTTTTTTATCCGGAAAAGGCCTTTGACACTACCAGGAGGTGTGGTATTTTGAAAGATTTACACGAGATGGGTGTTAGAGGAAATTTGCCTAATTTTATTGAGTTTTTCGTGTGCGTATTTACATTTACATTTAGTCATTTAGCAGACGCTTTTATCCAAAGCGACTTACAAATGAGGGCAAGGAAGCAATTTACACAACTAAGAGCAACAATGAATAAGTGCTATAGGCAAGTTTCAGGTCTGTAAAGTCTAAGAAGGAATTAAAGGTATTAGTAGTATTTTTTATTTTTTTTTGGGGTACAGTTAGTGTGATATTCAGAGAGGCAATTGCAGATTAGGAAGTAAAGTGAAGACTAAATAGTTGAGTTTTTAGTCGTTTCTTGAAAATAGCGAGTGACTGCTGTTCTGATGCAGTTAGGGAGTTCATTCCACCAACTTGGCAGATTGAGCGTGAGCGTTCGCGATAGTGATTTCTTCCCTCTTCCCTCGTGGATGGAACCACGAGGCGACGTTCATTCACAGAACGCAAGTTTCTGGAGGGCACATAGATCTGCAGAAGTGAGAGCAGTTAAGAAGGAGCAAGGCCAGAAGTCACTTTGTAGGCAAACATTAGAGCTTTGAATTTGATGCGAGCAGCAACTGGCAGCCAGTGCAAACGGACTAGCAGCGGAGTGACATGTGCTCGTTTAGGTTCATTGAAGACTACTCGTGCTGCTGCGTTCTGGAGCAGTTGAAGAGGCTTAATAGAGTTAGCTGGAAGCCCAGCTATTAGAGAGTTGCAGTAATCCAGTTTGGAGAGAACAAGAGCTTGAACAAGGAGTTGAGCTGCATGTTCAGATAAGAAGGGTCGGATCTTTCTGATGTTATAGAGTGCGAATCTGCAAGATCGAGCAGTTCTAGAAATGTGGTCAGAGAAGTTTAGTTGGTCATCAATTGTTACTCCAAGGCTTTTCACCATTTTGGATGCAGATCCATCTGGATTGAAAAGTTATGGTGTAGAGTCGGGTTGGCAGAAACTACAAGCATTTCCGTTTTTGCGAGGTTCAGCTGAAGATGATGATCTTTCATCCAGTGTGAAATATCCAACAGGCAGGGTGAGATGGGAGCTGGAACCGAGGGATCATCAGGATGAAAAGAGAGGTATAGCTGGGTACCATCAGCATAGCAGTGGTAGGAGAATCCATGTCTCTGGATGACTGGTCCTAGAGATGACGTGTAGATGGAGAAGAGAAGTGACCCAAGAACAGAGCCTTGAGGTACCCCAGTGTTTAGATGCTGTAGGTTGGACACCTCTCCCCTCCAACGCCCAGTGACTCGAGCGTAGATAGCAGGATCTGGTGGTTGACAGTGTCAAAAGCAGCTGACAAGTCCAGCAAAATGACGACTGATGATTTTGAGTCTGCTTTAGCCAGTCTGAGATCCTCCACGACCGAGAGCAGGGCAGTCTCAGTTGAGTGGCCTTTTTTAAAGCCAGATTGCTTGTTGTCCATGAGATTGTTTTGAGTAAGAAGGTCCAGGACTTGATTGAACACTACTTTCTCCAGAATCTTGGCCATGAATGGAAGCAGGGATACTGGTCTGTAGTTTTCAAGTAGTGTATGGTCCAGGTTGGGTTTCTTTAGCAGTGGGGTTACCCTAGCCTGCTTAAATGAAGTGGGGAATAAACCAGAGTCAAGAGATGTGTTAATTATGTGAGTCAGTGTTGGTATGACTGCAGGAGAGATGGCTTGCAAGAGATGAGAGGGAATGAGATCGAATGGACAAGTGGTTGCATGGCTAGATAGCACGAGTTTGGACACCTCAGACTCAGAGAGCTGAGAAAAAGAGGTGAGTGTGTGTGGTGTTGGTGGTGTATCTTGCGTGTTTGTTGTAGGTGCAGCAAATTGAGCACTGAATTTTGCAGTTTTGGTGCAAAAGAATGTAGCAAAGTCATCAGTATTAAGTGTGGAGGATGCGGGTGCAGGAGGAGGATAGAGGTGGGAGGAAAATGTTTTAAAAAGTAGGCGAGGATTAGTGGCATTGTTGATTTTCAGACGGTAATATGTCTGCTTTGCAGAAGTAACCTCAGCTGAGAAAGAGGACAGAAGAGTTTGGTATGTTAAGAGCTGTTCAGGATTTTTAGGTTTCCGCCAAATTCTCTCTGCAGCCCGAAGTTTTGAGGGATGCTCACGGAGAGCCTCTGAGAGCCACGGTGCAGGAGGACTGGCACGGGCTGGCCTGGATGCAAGAGGACATAATCGGTCTAGACATGATGCTAGTGTGGAGCAGAGTATATCAGTGGCACTGTTCGTATCAAGTGCAGAGAGTTTGCAAGATGGAGGAAGAGAGTCTGAAACAATGGTGGATAGTCTATTGGGTGAGAGAGATTGTAGGTTTCTGCGAAAGGTAACCAGTGTTGGAGTGTGTGGTGGCTCAGGAGTAATGTGAATGTTGAGAGACAGAAGGAAATGATCCGATATTTGTAGTGGAGTTACTATTGTTTGATCAGCGAAGCAGTGTCGTGTGTAAATAAGGTCTAGCTGATTACCTGATTTGTGGGTAGCAGAAGTAGGTGCTCTTTTTAGGTCAAAAGAGGCAAGCAGAGTCTGAAAGTCAGCCGCTTGCGGTTTCTCAACGTAAATGTTGAAGTCACCTAGCACCAACAAGGGAGTGTCAAAATTAGAAAAACTATATTATCTGAATAGCATATAAGTATCAGAAGTGCCCCAAGAAAGTATACTATCAGTAACACTATTAAGTATTAAAATTAATAATATTGTAAATGTTAATGGGAATAATATATTTCGTAGTTTATATGTAGATGATTTATGTATTTGTTATATAGGGAAAATATGTATACAATCAAGAGACAAATTTAAATGTATAAATAAAATATATGACTGGTCAGTTTTAAATTGTTTTATTTTTCTAAATCAAAAACTGTATGCATGCATTTTTGTTTTTTAAGATGTATGCATTTAGATCCAGAGTTTTTTTAGATAGAGAAACTATACAAGTTGTGAAAAAGGTAAAGTTCCTAGGAATGAGTTTTGACAATGAGTAGTCTTTTATTCTTCATATTAAAGTATTACGAAATAGATATTTTAAAGCAATTTATGTATGAACTTAATTTTAGAAAGGTAAATAAATGAATAAATTAGGACCTCTGTAATGAAATCCAAGACTGTATAATAATTCAAGGCTATTAAAGCCTTAAGTTAAGATTATCAAATTTAAGAGTTTTTAATGCTTTTATAACCCCCGCGGGTACTCTGATAAGGTTTTGCATATAAATACTTACTCTTGACATATATTTGTTTCAGACTGTTATTTGCCTATTACATTCTAAATGATGTATATTGTAGTAATAATTTTTTAACTGTACCTATAGAACCTTACAACAGCACTAAAAGCAGCATCGAAGCAGTCTCCTTTTAGTCATTCCACCTCTTCACGGAGATTGTCAGACTGATCTGGTGTATTAATCAACTGTTGTGCTTTCTGAAACTGAACAATAATGCTGTTCCTGATGCTGAACATCCACTGGCACTAGATCCTCATCAATTTAAGAGTAAATCTCCCTTCTTTGCCATCCTCTGATGCGTTTAGTTTTCGCCGCAAAATTAGATTTTGCTGTAGGATGCGCTATGCAGACGTAAAGAACCTGACTGATAATCTACCAAAACCATGTCAGCAGAGTTTGTGTTAAGCGGCTTTGAAACAATTTACTTTGTAAAAGCACTAGATAAATAAAGATGAGTTTAATCGAATCTGCTTAAATGTCTACACGTTAATGGACCAAACAAAATATGATCTGATTTATTTTACATTTACTGTGCATCAAAATTACAGTGTGTGTAGCCAATGTTTCCAGTGTCTTTTCACTTTTCAGCTTTTGATGAGAGTTTTTAAGACTTAATGAAAACTAATGTTTTGTTTATTTATTTCAGACTTTATTGAAGAGAATGAGGGGAGGAAAGAGGAGGAACATCATGTCAAAATTGAGGAAAAAACTAATTTACAGACTGATGGTATTTTGAAAAGGAGAGACAAGAATCATTTCACCTGCACTCAGTGTGGAAAGAGTTTTGGAAGAAAAGGCAATCTTAAGATTCACATGAGGATCCACACTGGAGAGAAACCATTCACATGCACTCAGTGTGGGAAGAGTTTCAACCAATCATCATCCCTTAATAAACACATAAAAATCCACACTGGAGAGAAACCATTCACATGCACTCAGTGTGGGAAGAGTTTCAACCAACCATCACACCTTAACAATCACATGAAAATCCACACTGGAGAAAAACCATTCACATGCACTCAGTGTGGTAAGAGTTTCAACCAATCATCACACCTTAACAGTCACAAAAAAATCCATGCTGGAGAGAGATCATTCACATGCACTCAGTGTGGAAAGAGTTTCAGGCAATCATCACAACTTAATGAACACATGACGAGCCACACTGGAGAGAAAACATTCACATGCACTCAGTGTGGGAGGAGTTTCAGCCAATCATCACACCTTAATGAACACATGATGAGCCACATTAGAAAGAAACCTATCACATGCACTCAATGTGGGAAAAGTTTTAACCGCTCATCAAACCTTTATCAACATATGAGGATTCACACTGGAGAGAAACCTTTCACATGTGTTGAGTGTGGAAAGAGTTTTAACTGCTCATCAAACCTTGATAAACACATGAGGAACCACACTGGAGAGAAACCATTCACATGTGTTCAGTGTGGGAAGAGTTTCAACTTCTCATCAAACCTTTATCAACACATGATGATCCATACTGGAGAGAGACCATTCACATGCACTCAGTGTGGGAAGAGTTTCAGCCAATCATCACACTTTAATCAACACATGAGGAACCACACTGGAGAGAAACCATTCACATGCACTCAGTGTGGGAAGAGTTTTAACTGCTCATCATACCTTAATATCCACATAAGGATCCACACTGGAGAGAAATCATTTACATGCACTCAGTGTGGGAAGAGTTTTAACTTTTCATCAAACCTTCATCAACACATGAGGATCCACACTGGAGAGAAACCATTCACATGCCCTCAGTGTGGGAAGAGTTTCATCCAATCATCATCCCTTAATCGACACATCATGAGCCACCGGTGAGAAACCATTCATGTCTAATCATCTTGTTTAATCCCGCCCCTTTTTGCAACGGCGTACAACAGAATTTCGCATACTCAATAGTGATGGAAAGTTCGAATCATTTTACTGACTCGGATCTTTGAGCCTCGTTCATCGAGATGAACAAATCTTTTTTCGATTCATTCGGTTCAATTTGCCAAAAAAATTATTAAAATGTTACGAATTGCTTCCAAACACATCTACAACTAGTCCGGGAGGTTCATCACACGAAAAATAAGTCATAAATAGATTATAAGAAGAAGAAACTAATAATTAAATGTTTACCTGCTCTTTTGTCTATAGGCATTGTTGTGTCTTTGCTCAGCTAACCTTTTCATGTCTTCAAATGTCAGTGGTGCGTTCACGTAACAATGACAGTCACATCTTAACCATAACCAGGCTGAGCCGATAGGAGCCATGATAATTAGTTCACCTTTCCAGTCTTCTGGTTCTTGAGTCGTTCGTTCATCACGTGACAGAATAACTCAAACCCGAGGACTCGAGAGTTGAATGTATCTATTCTTTTTTTTGGCTCTAAACGCATATGATTGGCCCGTGATGAACCTGTGACTCAAACCCGAGGACTCGAGAGGTGAACAGATCAATTCTTTTTCTGGCTCTAAATGCATATAATTGGCTAGGCTTTAGTCTTTCACGTGGTGAACGAACGACTCGATAGAGGACTCGAAAAATTAACTGACCTTGTCTCGCACTACACAATGTGTGCATGAGCGAATTACTGTATCTTTTAGTTCATCCGAGTCATTCATTCTTTTGTCACATAACGTGAAAGAAAGCATAAGAGATGAGTTATTATAATAAATCAAATTGGTTTAAGGTTTGTTAGCTTTCAAAAACACAAGCTCTGAACCTTTGATAGGCTGAGTCTGTTTCTTCTTTTGTCATTAGTTGTTGGTCACAGGATAAAAGCTGCTAAATGAGTAAATGCAAATGCAAACTATCTTTATACAAATATTAGACCAACACATAAAGTCTGCATAGAAAAACATTATCAAACAAAAATGGGGTATAAATGAACAAATTACAAATCACTTGTAATAGTAGAATTTGCCTAATTTATCATATACCCTAGCTTAGTGTTTTCTGATGGCAAGCAAGCAAATAGATATATATATATATATATACCACATATCCAGCAGAAAACAAGTAACAATAACTTAGTTACAATAGGACAGACCTTTTTTAATTCTTACAAAATGATTTTTAAGTACACATTGTTTGATGATTTTATTAACAGTCTAAAATATGATCATATCATGCAACAAAAATTTTGTTTTACATAAATATTATTGACTGAGGTTCTCGTTGCAGTGTACAGTGGAACTACAGTTTAAGATCAGAAATGCACATAATAATGTAAGAATGGCTATATCTCTCCATAATATTAAAATCTGCAAACGGTTATGGAACTCTACCTGAGACAAGACCATGAGAATGGTCAGGCACTAAAACAATAAACTTTCAAATCTGAGAAGAAGATCTGCTAGAAAACCACCAGTTGTTCATGTTTACTCGATCATGCATCCTGAGCCCCCCTCTTTGCCCTGGACTTTACCTTCTCCACCAGAGCAGCTCACTCACATTTCACATCGAATGGTTAAGTTTTTAATATGGTGTATCTTGTGGCTTTATATTCATGTTTGGTGTCATTTTAAATGTCTCTGTGTGATTGGTAAAGTGATCTTAATTTCACTGTAATATTGTACAATCTCCCTTATTTCAGTTAATTTGGGTTTTGACTTTGATAAGGTCTTTGCCAGATGCTCCACTACAGGGAAAATGGTCTTCGCATCAACTCATGACCAGGCAAGAGTCTTGGTGAAACTTTTATTGTCTTAAATTTCTGATGATTTGAGTATTTAGGCAAGGATACCCCATTGCAGGTTGTGAGTCTCTGAGCTCTGCATCAGGACTTATATGCTGCAATGTATTTCTACATGGTCAGTTATTCCTCTTTAACTCTTAAATGTATCTTTGAGTAATTGATGTTGTACAATCTTGATTGGCTTATTTTGTTTAATTATGTGAACTGCAATGGAAAATCTTTTCCTGACAAATAAATGTAAAATTCTTGTTTAACTCTAATTTCTCCTGAAATCATTTAAATCTTGTAGATTGTTTAGGCTGACGTTTCCGCAGCCTACAACCAGGATTAGTCATCCATTCAGGCGCAATGGAAGGAGCATGGGCACAGTATTAGAGACCTGTTTATTTCTAACAATCATTGATGATATAATCTAGGGGTATGATATAATTTAGGGGCTAAATCAAACTTTCTTTAAGTATGTGCAAGCATGGGGCTGCCTATTATTACTTAAAGGAAATTAAATTTCAGTTATATTCTCTTACTAAGCTAAATTAAACTTTCTTTAAGTATGAGCAAGCATGGGGCTGCCTATTATTACTTAAAGAAAATTAGCTTATCTGCTAAGTATCGGAACTGGCGAAGATATGTCCGTGACCAGATGAAACTGGCCAGCATACTGACTCTAAGCAACTTTGAGTAAACGAAGAAACATTAATTGAATATAAGGATTTATTAGGTTAATCAATCTAAATTAGACCTAATCACAATCTATAACCGTTCACGGTTGCAGGTTTGTGCACTCTTCCGGAGTGTCTGTTTGATCATGTGGGTTTGTTTTGTTTTTGTGGCCCACGTGTATTTGTTTTGGTCACGTGTCATGACGGCACTCAGCTGGATTGATTGTTCGCCAGCTGATACTCATTATCGTGCCTATATATGTGCTACGTGTTTAGTGTGTCATTGTCAGTTCGTTACGTGTGCTTATGGTGCTATCTTGTCTGTGCTCAGGACCTGAGGAGTTTTTACTGGACCCTGTTTCCTGCCTGATTCCTGCCCTTTTTCTCCTAGTTCTAGCACCACACTCATTCCTTGCTTTTGTTTTGACTGTGTTAATAAATAATTATTTTGCTTACTCGCACTTGGATTCACCTGAACATTATTTACTTGTGACAAAACAAACTGAACTTACCATGGATCCAGCGAGTGCGTCACAGATCTCAGAGTTCCTGACAACCATCAACGCCAGGATCGATCGCCAGAATGAGGCTTTGGCAACGACAGCACAGGCTATTCAGGCCTTGGTTGGTCAGGTATCACTACTGACTACAAAGGTCCAACAGATGGTTTCCTGCGCCGGTGACTGCTAATGTTAGCATTGGTCGCTTAGTTGAGCCTTGCCTTCCTCCACCGACCTGCTATGCTGGGGAGCCTCACTTATGTCAGTCCTTCTTGTCCAAATGCTCTCTGTACTTCTCCCTGCAGCCGTCCTTGTTCTCTTCAGAACAGTCCAAGGTGGCGTTTGTTATCACCCTCCTTTTGGGAAGCGCGGCTCAATGGGGAACCACAGCATGAGAAAAGAAATTACCATGTTGTTCCTCGTTCGACCTGTTCTCTAAGGAACTCAAGAAGGTCTTTGATCGGGCTGCTTCTGGGAGAGAGGCCGTCCGAGTCCTCGCTGAGCTCCGCCTTGGGAACCCGAGCGTGGCGGACTATTCTATTCAGTTCCGCACTTTGGCTGCTGAATCCGGCTGGAACGCGGAGGCTCAATGGGACATGTTCCTTCATGGCCTTTCTGATCGTCTCCAGGACGAGATCTACTCCCTAGATCTGCCCAAAACTCTCGACGAGTTGGTGGATTTGGCCATCCGGGTGGACTCCAGACTGCTTCGCCGTGAGAGTCGCATGCGGCAAAACAGGTTTCCGGATCCTGTTCCTGACTCGCCGGTCTCGGCGATGGCGCAGGAAGTTGGGAGCATTGACCCGGAACCGATGCAGTTGGGCAGATCCCGCTTGTCCGTACAGGAGAAGCGCCGGCAGAGAACGGAGGGACTCTGCCTTTACTGCGGTAGGGCGGAACATCGGGTGGCTTCCTGTCCCGTAAAAGACAACACCCATCAGTAGGTAAGAGGTTACTGATGGGTGAAATTAATTTGGACAAATCCTCTACGTCTGCTACATTACTGCCCGTCACCTTATCATGGGGTTTCAGAAAATCAAAACACACAGGCACTCGTCGATTCCGGGGCAAAGGGAAACTTCATTGACTCTAGTTTCGCTTTTAGTTTTAAACTTCCGGTTATAGCACTATCACAACCCATTGCAGTACGCGCCCTCAGCGGACTTTCCCTTCCCACTATCACTCACTCCACCAAACCCATAAAACTTATCACGTCTGGAAATCATTTTGAACACACTTCATTTTTTTTAACAGACTGTTCTAACACACCGGTGGTTTTAGGTCACCTTTGGTTGATTTTCCATAAACCTCATATTAACTGGGGTCTTAATACGATATTTTCGTGGAGTGAGAACTGTTATGAGTCTTGTCTTTCGTCTGCTCGTTCTGCTGTTTCTTGTTCTGTGTTTCAGGAGGAGCGCATGGACCTGTCAAACGTGCCCAGTGAGTACCTCGACCTGAAGAGAGTGTTCAGTAAGTCTCCAGCTGCTTCTCTGCCTCCTCATCGACCCTATGACTGTGCAATAGACTTATTGCCAGGTACCTCTCCGCCTAAAGGCAAGTTATACTCTCTTTCTATTCCTGAGAGGGAGGCCATGGAGAAATATATTTCTGATTCTCTAGTGGCCAAGATCATTCGGCCCTCTTCTTCACCGGCGGGGGCGGGGTTCTTTTTCGTGAAAAAGAAGGATGGGTCTCTTAGACCCTGTATAGACTATCGAGGGCTGAACAGCATCACGTTGAAGAATACATATCCTTTGCTGCTGATGTCTTCAGCGTTCGAGCGTCTGCAGGGGGCTTCATTTTTCACGAAATTAGATCTCCGCAACGCATATCATTTGGTTCGCATAAAGCAGGGCCATGGGTGGAAAACCACGTTCCTGAACCCTAGGGGGCATTTTGAATATTGTGTTCTTCCTTTTGGGCTTTCTAATCCTCCTGCGGTTTTCCAAGCACTCGTAAATGACGTGTTG